TTTGTTTGTTGTTATCATTACTTCGAGTGTTTTTTAAAACTTTTAGAATTTTCTCTCACTTTTCGATATTTTTCATTCTATTAATAATACGTTATATAAATTACATTAAATTGATTAGAAACGCGTTTACCATTTTTTTTTTTTTTTTTTTTGAAAACAACAACCTGCCGTTAAAAACTATTCATTTTGTTTTGATAATGATAATTTTTAATTTGTCGTCTGCTATGAGATTAACATTGTTTTTTTTTTTTTTTCGAAAAATTTCGAATAGAAAATAAATAATTTTATATCGACTCTGTAGAATTTATCGACTCGAAATTTTTACGGCAAATGCAATTAAATAATAATAATAATAATAATAATAATAATAATAATAATAATAATAATAATAATAATAATATGTTAAATTTTAAAATTTTCCCGTTAAACAAATATATATATCAAATTTTGTAAATTTTCCGAGTTTTCAAAATTACTATTAAAAATTTAATTTAAATTAATATTTAATGACAAAAAAAAAATCCGAAACGAAACAAACTTTGTTAATTGATGACAAAATAAATAATGAATAAATAAATAAATTTTTTTTATACTTTATTTCTCTTTCGACGCTGTTATAAAAAATTTTTTTTTTCACTCATTTTTTATTCATGGCTCAATACCAATTTTCTCATATAATAATAATAATAATAATAATGAAAACCTCTGGGCAAAATGTGGGAAAGAGAGAGAGAGAGCGAGAGAGAAACAGGGGGATAAAAAAAAAAAAAAAGCTATACATTATTCGACTACTGCCATGACATTTAATTTCATTTACGTGTCAGGGTTTTCACCTCAAAACCGAGGTTTGACTTTTTTTTTTCCCCTCCCCACTCCCGCCCCCCCTATACACATTAAAAATAAAAAATAAAATAATATCGAAAATACATTACGGCGGGACGGACGACAAACAGTCAACGACACAACGTGTCATTATTATTATTAAACAAACATTAAAAGTTTTTTTTTCGTTTTGTTTTAACGAAAGAAAACGAGGGAAAATAAAATAGTAACAGGAGGAAAATAATTAAAAATGAATAAATAATAAATAAATCGATTCGAAACCGAAAAGGGAACAACAACAACAAACGTTTAAAAAATTAATGACAACCTGTGTAGGAAATTTTTGAAATTGTACGTGAAAAATATTCGATATGAGGCGGTGTAAAATTCATTTATTTAAAAATGAATCAAGTTTTTGTGTGTCGTTCGTTAGAAAATTAAAATTTTGAATGAGATTAGCCTCAAGCGTTTAAATTCAATATTGGGTTTTCAATTTCATCGAACGAGACTAACTTGTGGAAAAAGCAGAAAGAAAGAAAAAAAACTTTTCATTTTCCCTCCGGATAAATTTTTTTTTTTGTCAATTAAACAATTGTTCGTTTTTAAAACGTTTTAAAATAAAATTTAAAAAAAAAAAAAATTAAATTAAACTTAAACTTACTTTTTTTCCCCTTCCCTTCCTTCCTCCTTCCTCCGTTTATTCCTCTTTCACTGCAAAACAAAACAAAACAAGACAATTAATATGTAATTTAATTTTTATTTAACAAAAATTCATCGTCATTTCCGGTTTTCTATTTCAAAACGTCCTTGACGTCTCGTCTGCCTCGTGTGTGTGAGTAAATTTTATCGCGAAATTTTTCATTCTAAGAAAAATTTAAAATAAATTTGATTATTATTAGTCGCATAAATCTTTTTAAATTTTCATTTACTTTTAAAATATTTCCAAAGTGATTGTTCTTTATAAAAACCTTGATTATGTGGAAAAGGTATCAAAATTTGTTTCGTATCAGACGACAACATTTACACTCTTTTATACATTGCGATGATAATAATAATAATAATTTTATGACGTGTCAACCATTTAATTCTTTCAATTTAAAAAAAAAAAAAAAAAAATGCGCCACATCAATAAGATTTTCAACGAACGATTTATTTTTCTTTCTTTTTGTTTATTTAACTTTTCTTTTTTTTTTCGTTACCATCTTTTTTTATGAAAAAAATTTACAATCGGGGGGAAGGGAGGATTTAAAATTCGTATTGCTTTCATAAAAGAAAAATTTTTTTTTTTTAAACTCATCCCCTTTTTTTTACCTACACAGTTCGTTCCTTCTTCTCCTGTTTCTTCTTATTCCTTCAAAGTCTAATCCTACCAGAATCAGTACCATCTGGTGACTGCATAACCCCGTAAAAAAAAAAAAAAATTTTCTTTTTTTTTTCAATTTTTCTTTCTCGCAATTGTTTGTCTGAACTTGTTTGTTCGTTTTTAAACAAACATTTTACTTTTCTTTTTTTTTTATTTCAATTTTACGTATTGCATACATTTTTTTTTTTTTTTACCAATAATTTCTTTTCTTTCCTTTCCTGTTTCCATCGTCACCCCATACCCTTCTTTTGCATTCCCCTTCCCCTTCCCTCCCCCCACCAATCCAACGTTCCGTAACTTTTCCTTATTTATTTTTATTATTATTATTATTTTTACCTTCAATTTTTTGTCAATAAGTTCACCTTTTTTTTTTTAAATTGATTTTGTTTTGAATGTTTTTTATTATTATTCTTCTTCTTGTTTTTTCTTTATTTTTGCGAGGTCAGGTGGAAAATTTTAAATGCGTTTTTTTTTTTTATACATATATTGTATTTCTTTCTTTCTTTCTTTCTTTCTTTCTTTTTCCTTTTTTTTTATTTTATGCCGTCTCAGCATGAAATAACAATTCTAACCGGTTCTATTTATAGTTTGAATTTTTTTTCTGCTTTATTGCTCTCCACGTGAACAGGAAAGAATTCGATTCAAATTTAAAAAATAAAATAAAATAAAAATTTTCTTTCCTTTTTTTTTTTTTTTTAAATTTATACGAGACCCGATTTTATTTCTTTTTTTTTTTTTTTAGAAAAGAATTAAAATTTTTTTTTTTAGTTTCGTCTGCATTAATTCGTTTAAAATTATATTTTTTAAAGTCGTAAAATAAACATAATTTAAACGGAAATAGTATGACAAGTTCAAAGTTTACAAAAAATTTTTTTTATCGCTAAAATTTTCCGCAGGTACGAACGAATTCTATTAAAACGTTATTATTATTATTTTGTTAAATATTACTCGGGGGTACGAAAGTAAAAAAAAAAAAAAATTACGTTTTAAGTCATATAAACGACCTCATTATTACCACCACCACCACCGCCACCACCATCACCATCACCACCGAATGATTTATTATTACTCGATCGCATAAAAATATTTTAAAAAAAAAAAACAATTTAAAATATTTGTAATGTATGATAGTAATAAAAATAAAAAAAAAACAAAATTTTCCTTTTTTATGAAAATCATTTTTTAAAGTGGTAACATAAAAAAAAAAAAATACGATGCGTAAGAAAAAAAAACAAAAAATTTTAAACAGGTAATTTAAAGTCGAACCACGAAAATTTCAAAAAAGGAAAAAAAGGAAAAAAAAAGGGGGAATTACTATTTAAGAAAGTAGAAACGGAAAAGTAGACGGTTAAAAAAAAAAAAAAAGGTATAATTATCAAAAAAAAAGAGAAGAGAAGAGTAGAAAGCAAATTGATAGAGTAAAAAAAAAAAAAGAGCAGAAAATGAAGCAGAAGCAGAAGAAGAAAAAAAAATTCGTATATATTTTACTCCCCATCAAAAAGAAAGTAATCAAGAAAAATTGCGACAAAAAAAAGGAAAAAAAAAGGAAAAAAAAGTAAAAGCAGTAATGGAAAGACCAAAAATACTGTAAATCAAAAGTTTGCTTCCTTTTTTTCCTTTTCTTCCTTTTTTTTCTTCCTTTTTTCCTCATTTTTTTCCATTTTTAAAAGTTTTTAAATCCAATTTTTTTTACAAGTTTAAACATTTATACTTTATATATATATATATATATATATATATATATATATATATATATATATTTTAAACAGAGTTAAAAATATAAATATATTAAAACGGTATATTAAAAAAAAATTTCATACATTAATAATAATAATAATAATAGTAATAGTCACGTAAATCCCGCCATTTTTTTTTTTTTAACAATTTCCAACCCAACGCCATGTATTAAAAAAAATATTTTTTTTGTCTTTTCTTTTTTAAATTAATAAACGTGTTAATAATTTAATTTAAAACGACGCGAAAACGTTTCGTAAAAGCAGAAGATGTTTAAAAAATTAAAAGAAATTCGTAAATTTTTTTTTTTTATTTTTTTTTCCCGTTTAAATAATTTAATACGTCACTTCCGACGA